CGTCTGAAGGAAGCAATCGCCCAGAAGCGGCCAGCGTTGGCTAATAAGAGAGGAATTGTGTTCCATCAGGACAACGCAAGGCCACACACATCGATAGTGACTCCGCCAGAAGCTCCGGGAGCTTGGTTGGGAGGTTCTTATGCATCCACCTTATAGTCCGGACCTGGCTCCAAGTGATTACCATCTATTCCTGTCTATGGCGAATGATTTTGCTGGTGAAAAATTCGCCTCAAGAGAAGCTTGTGAAAATCGACTGTTTTTTGCCAATAGGGACGAGGGTTTCTATGAGAGAGGCATAATGGAATTACCTTCAAAATGGCATTATCGAACAAAACGGTGCATATTTGACTTAAATCGGATCATTCTAACTATACTAAATAAAGCCTTCAATTTCATGCAAAAATAATGGATATCTTGTTACGACACCTTATATTATCTATTTTTATTTAAATAACTGAATTTATTTTGTTTTATAGTTCCAAAAAGTTATGATACTCAATTAAAAGATTGTATTCACCTGTCGTGGATAAAAAAAATCGATTTTTCAATTTTTGTATTTTCTTATAATATGAAATCTTAAAATTATTTTTCTAAAGTTACAATTCGAAGAAAAAATAAAAATTAAAAATAAAAAAGTTATAGCGTGTTAAAGAAATCATTTATATCGTATATTGCTTAAAAGTAAGCTTAAAACTTCGAACGTGTTTTTCTCAAAACCTATTTTACAAATAGATCGAACTCAGGTTTTTTTCTATTTATTTAGCATCAAAATATACAGTTTTTATCATAGAATTTTTTTTAGGATTTACAGTTTTGTTTTTTACAACAAAAAATCGATCGATTTTTAGAGACGACAATTCGCATCCTTATATTCAACTAATCGCCATTTTGCAACAAACACAAATTTAAAAAATTGGCTCGATAAAGATTAAATTTATATATGTAACATTTTATTTATAAATGTAACATTTTCTTGCTTAAACTATCATATTGATCCTCAATTGGCTTGAAAGTGATTACTTCTAAGTTTCTCGAAGTTACGAATATGCTGTCTGATTACGAATATGTTGTCAAAATTTTGAAATTCAAAATAGTAAATCTAATATGGCGACCAGCGTACAAAACCATGAGCCTTATGCTTTTAGACCTTCAACTTCTTTTATTTCAAGTAAGCTTTTTAATCCCGAATGAATTTATTTTAAGTTAGTCTTAGAATAAAAAATATTTCATCATTAGTTTTCAGTAGGTGGTCATTAATTTTTAAACGTTTATTTAAAATTCAATCACTACGAAATATTTTTTATTCTAAGACTAACCTAAAATATTTTACCCCTTTATGCTGGGGATTAAAAAGCTTGGGAATTAAAAGAAGTTAAAGGTCTAAAAGTATAGGGTTCAAGGTTTCGTACGCTGATCGCCATATTGAATCTACTATTTTGAATTTCGAAATTTTAACAGCATATTCGGAATCAGCAATTCCGAAGAATCTAGAAGTAATCATTTTTCAGTCAATTAGAGATCAGTACAATAGTTTAAGCAAAAAAATGTTTCATTTGCATGCGATGGTCATCGCTTCTTGGCGCCATATTGGATCTCTCAAAACATTTCTTCCGAAAGTACATGCACATACGAATAATTTGAAATCTTGAACGTTTATTTTCATTGCACTGATTTTTGGACACGCAAGTGATCCGATTGTGGAACGTCCTATATATAATATATTTTAAGAATCTATTACGTTTTTGTGTTTCGTATGAACCATACATTATCCAGTGGGTACCGCAAACAGTTATAGCAGCTAATATGTATGATGCCAACAACAATATTTTGCTTACTTTTTAATATTTTTAAATTTAAATTTTACATTTTATTGACAAAATCTTATATAAACATTGGTATAAACCTCACTTCAATATTTCTAATACTTTTGGAATAAAAAATTCATGAATATGGACCTATTTTTAGTGCCTCCAGGTATAAGTAATCCTTTAAATTACAATTAAGAAATACAAAAAGAATAAGCCTTATATAGTCTCAAAAAATGAAAATTTTTTCACTATTAAATGTTACTAACCAAATGTACTTTATTTGATGTTTATATTATCAAATAAAGATAATTTCTTACTATAACATTTTACATAAGAATAAAAGGAATAATAAAAAATAATTTAAATATATAT